CTGGCGCAAGACGCCCAGTTCGCCCACTCGGGTTTGTAATTATGAGTGATATTTTCCTTAAAGGAACTTTCCTGGAGTAAATAAGGAACTCTGACAATCCCTGGTTGCTTCCTCCATCTTAGCAGGCCACTTCAGCGTTCACAGGTGACCTTCGTGTTAAGAAAAATACGCGTCATGACACGAGATCCTTTGCTCTCCGTTATACGAACCTGAAGTTGGTTTTGTGAAAGCACCGCAACGTATGTATCAGACAGACGAGCGAATTTAAACTGGCTTAGAATGGATGAAACTAACTCGGAATCCATTCAAAATATAAGTTTTTTGCGACCCTGTTTCGACCAACCCTGATAACCCATCGACGACATCACAGGCCTAGAAAAATAACTGATTAATGATACGGATTTCTTGTCAGCAGACAACACCGAAAAGCCGTACCAGTTTTCCACTATCCAGCAACAGTTGTTTCTGAGAAGAGGTAACGTAGGACTTGTGTTGTTTCATTCAGTTATTACTTGACTGCGTTCCTGATGTCAGTTTTTTGAAGATGTTGCTGTCGGTGCTATCCTAAGTCACGCACACAGTGGGTTTAAATTGTCCCTGCTTCCCGGGACCGAAACGCATCCATAAAGGAGTCTAATGAAAGCCGCAGAAGGTACCTATTTCAGGTAAGGTCTATGAGTTACAGTTGCAATGAATAACGCGCTGTGGCAAAGAACTTTTTGCTTAGAATAAATCTCTAATTCTTCTTTTATTCTCTTCATCAAACAACGTAGATGAATCAGCAGCGGATCGTTTATTTAACCGAAACAAACTAAGGTAGGTCAGCTCTACACTTCCAAACTTTGCGCATCATCTGTGCCCTATTTATTTTATGAAGTTTATTGTGCAGCGCTGATTAAAGTTTCTACGCCAACAGTCAGAAGTTCTTTTTATTCTTTATTTTAAAGCCAATGCCTCCAGCGATATGACGTTTTCTTTCTGTTTCCACAAAGAAATAATGAATTGTACTTATAGAAAGGACGAAAGCCTAGTGAGCCATGAGCACGAAACCAGAATCTATCGATTACGAGTTCGACACTCTTCAAACTGATCAAACAGATCCTGTTTGACGTAACTCAGTTATAGCAGTTAATCAGGAGGATAAATCTGAAACGATGTCGATGTTTCAGTCCATGGCTCGAAACATAATTGAGGTAACAGTTGCGATTGTCGACCGCAACAGGAGTTGTATCCTGGAGTAGGTGTAGAATGGTATATGGACAGATGCTCTTCAGTGAAAAGATGATTACCGTAGCTTCAGTAGGGATATATCTTTTCGACAATCGAATATCTTGCATTGTGTTAAATAAAACCTTGTTTTGATGCATTTTCATTATGGCTACCAGACAGGAAAAAAATGCTCAATCTCAGGGCAGCAAAGAACTCAGTGTAATGGGCTTTGATGCACCTGATCAAAAGTATAGTTTGTCGATGATAAAATCCGATAAACATTAATACAGTCTTTGTGAATTGTACTACCACAGAGGGCATACCGCGGAAGACATTGCAGGTCGATTATGCACAGGGCCTTGCATTGTCTCTCATTGAAATCAAGCCCACCCATGGATCTTACTGATTTTGTGGCAGACCGGAACCACTGGAAGGACGTTCTAAAAAAAGTGCCGCCCCCTCCCCCACCCCCAATTCAAAAGGAATATAGGAGCTTCGAAAAAGAATGAGTGTATATTATAATTTAAATTTTTGCCTTGCAGAACATTGAGCACTAATTTTCAAAATACATAGTTTAAATGGCAACCAGCTGCCTCGGACCATCTTGACCTCGTCGTCCTCGGTCAACACATCATCGTTGTGCACTATGCGTTTAGTGACTTTTGGACAAAGGCATTACTTCGAAGCGTTGGAAGGAACATTTATCAAATTTTGACCTCGGTGTTCGGAGTGAATTATGTTCAGCATTCTCATACCTTGTATCGCGAAGCAGCAGCTAGCAGAGAAGTAAATGAATGTATACAAATGGCGCCAACGACATGTTTACCGGTTTAAATAAGATAATCAAAACTGCTTTTTGGCTTCCTTAGGCGTCACTGCTGTTTTCAGCAATGTAAATACTAATAAGCTGGTTAATATTTTACCCGACTTAATATTTTACTTGAAGAACATGATGAACCAATGGAGGGCATCTGAAAGCATGGTAACAAATTGGAGCGTGGATGATTTAATGACATCTTCGACATCGTGATGAATCTCATCAATTTCAGATTCGTTAACAACACCTACAATCAGACGTCCGGTTTTCCGGTGGGCTCCCTAGTTGTGTTGTGTTAGCTTATCTTTATATAGACCACCTGGCGGTGAAAGCCGTCAAGAAATGTCCGCCAGAATTCCGACCATTATTCTATGTCTGCTTCGTTGATGATATTTTCTATTATTCCATCGAAATGAGGACGCACTGAAAAGGTTGGAATGTTTCGTGAATTACATGAATAGACAAAATAAAAATGGCCGAATACACTTTACTACTGAAGTCGAAGTTAACCACTCTATGTCCTTTCTGGATGTGCTGATGAAGTGGACCCCAACTTTTGAATTTGAGGTTTCCGTAAATCGGAAAGCAATACGCTCCAATCGATACCTACACCCGTCGTCATGTTTCCCTTCTGGATTTATTATTTAGGAATGTGGTGAAAAACGTGCATTAATGAGCCCAAGAGATCCGCACTACCTCGAAACATGTAGAAATCCAACATCTTCGCGAAGCGTTCTTTAAGAACGGCTACTGCAGGAGGATTGTTGACGAAGTACTGATGCACCATAGCCA